TTTTCTATTAAAATATTTTTCTATCAGATGACTTTAATAACTTCATAATTTTCCTTTATGTGGCTATACTAGATTTTATTTAAATAAGCTGTTGTTTTTGAGACACTTAGATTGTTTGTAATTATAAATAGAAATACTTATAACCTCCTTTTCTCTGCGTCTTTCTCACAGCTGCACACTTCCTTAGCCTGAGTGCCCCAAAGTGAAGTTGCTGGGTCACGTGCTACATGCATAGCGTGGGAAGGTCGGGGGGTGGGGGGGGTCTTCAATGCGCGAGCTATGAGGGGCCTCTTTCCCAAACCGGTTCCCAGACTTATGAACTAAATTTTCAAAAACTTTTCGTTAATCTGATATTCAAAATTATCTTTTAATTATCACTGAGGTTGAACATTCGAGAATAGTAATTGTTCATTTGTACTTATTATCGTGTGCAGTATCTAGTCCTATTCTTTGCCCATTTTTAAATGAGAAGATTCGGTCTTTTATTGGTTTGTGAAGCTATTTTTATAACAAGGACATTAACGTTTATAGCATCCGTCAACAATGTCTTTTAGAATTTATTGTTTGCTTTTGCATTTTGTTGTTTCCAGTATTAAAAGAAGAACCGTTTCCATTTTTCCTGATTCCACAGTAGCGAACCATGTCTAATAGCAGAAAATGTTCTCAGTTTGCACACATTACAGCAGTCAGAGAATTTATGCTTGAAGAACTCATACATGTAACTTATAACCATCTAAGGTGAATGGTTTAACACTTTGACTTTATTTTGTCCTTATTCTTCACCAATTTCTTTATATCTGAAGACTCTCCCATGTTGATTCTTCTTGAAGGCGTAAGGTAAGCAGTGCAATAGAAATCCGATTTCCTGCATAGAAAGGTTCCACTGGCTGATCTATAATGTCAGTAGGCTTCCCATGTCAGACCCTTTTCAAAACCTTAAATCTCAAGTTCAAAGTCCTCACTTAAGTCTTGACAGTAGCTTTCAAGGCCATCGATTCAAGAATAAACACATTTCTTCTCTTTCAAGCTAGAGAATCATATTCTCTTTATACCTGTTAACACACTTTTTCAAAAGAAAAGAACTTTGTTTCAAAAAAAAGAAGAAAACCAACCTTTTTTTTATTCAATTCTCCTGGGATATTAAGAACAAAAAGACTTACAACTTAATGGAACATCTTAATTTCCCCAAGAATGAGGGAGAAAACTAGAGGCCCTGGAGTGGAAAGGGGCCATGTCACAGCACCCTCTCGGATGAAGCGAAGGGCTTGCCTGGGGCACACCCTGGTCCTTTAGGAGGACGTAGGGTTCCCCTCTAGATGCCAGTGAGGGTACCAGTTCAGGCATTTTACTTGTCAACTGTTGTCAATCCTATAACATTTATCGCAACCATGTCCATCTAATGGGGGTCACAATAAAATGAAATAATTATTTCCTAATAGATCTACTACCCATCACGAGATAGTTAACTGATCACCAACTCATTAATTACCTACACATTATAGGCATAAAGCTAATCAACAAAAGTTTGATGTTATTATTACTCATCTGTATAAAAAGATTAGTCCTCACGGTATATTCTATAAGGAAAGCATCCAGCCTTGGTAGTCAGTGAGCTTGCTTTGGCCTGTTTTGAGCTGTGGCACGCACACCCTAACAGAAGAGCCCCGTGGTAGCCAGCGCTCAGGAGCCACTAGGGCTACCAAAAGCTTTCCTACAGTTACCCGAGGGGCTCTACCCACGCCCAGGCAGCTCTCTCTTCTGATTCCTTCAATGGGCTCTCCTACTGGTGATTCTTCAGGGTCAACAGAAAGGCTTTCTTGAAAAAAACAAAACCCACCAATTGTAATGAGAACTATACACACTCCATTACACATTTTTTGGATGTACAGTATATAAAAACACACTTATGTAGTTCCTTTCAATGTCTCATCTTCACTCAACAGTTTATAAAACATCTAGCGAGATGTGGCTATGCGTCCTTTTTAGGAGGGGGGTTGGGGGAGAGGGGGGAGTACAGAGAGAAGGCAGACACCCAGGACCTTAAGCATCCGATTCTGTTTGGTTGTTACAGCAAGACGGGCTCTTTCAGCTTGGGAGAAAGTGCCAGCCCTACCCTTCCTTTTACACATCGGCACACATCTGCATACGTCTCCCTACCCCTTCTAAATGATCCCCAGAAACACACACACAACGATGAAACCACTTAGGGGACTGTGTCTGCTACCTGGGGCTCTGGTCACACATCACCAAGTAGGACTTGAGCCATAGGAGCAGGAGCAGGACATGTGGTAAAAGAACTCCTTTGTCCAGGAGGGGGCAGTCTCTAGCATGCTGCTCCCTCTCCTGGGATGCTCTTCACATAGGTAACATCTGCTCACCCCTTGGGCCTGCTCTTCACCTATGTGACGTCTGCTCACCTCTTGGGCTTGTTGCTGAGTCTGGGAGCCTCCCCTACTGCTAGCCTGGCCTGAATGCCCCTTTGGACTTGCTGTTGAAATACCCCATCCTTCTGAATCCTTACCCTACTTGTGGCACGTGTTCAGTATCTTCTTCCACACGAATATATGCCCAGGGGGGGTGAGAACCACATTTGTCTTTTTCGGGTCTATATTTCCAGTTCCTAGAACACTGGCAGGTACATAACACATCCTCATACACATTTGCTGAATGAGGGTGAAGTTAACTAATATATGGAAAGTGCTCAGTTTACTTCCTGCCACACAGAGGTGCCCGATACTCGTTAGCCGCTAGTGTGCGACCATCACGGGTCTGTCCCACACCGAGAACGTGTTGAGACGCCCTGAGAGACATTTTGAAAGGATGTTCGCTGCCCATAAGCTTCAGAACCGCATTTCCGCAGGCTTCTATTCTCTTCTGCTAAACTGAGCGGAATCAGTAGGCAAGGTTCGGTCACACCTGACTTCCGGAAAAGACGAAACAACTTTCAGAGGAGATGAGACCAGGAAAAGGCCCCCACTCCTGCCTGTGAGAAACTCCTCATGCCCTTCTCCCTCTCCACCGTCCCATGGTTTTCTGACACTGCTCTTAACTATCTCATTACTATAGCGTTTAGGCTAACTTACAGCATTCTTATTTTTTAGTGTTTTTCAGAATATCGGGTATGGCCTGCAATGTGTCTAAATGCTGTAGTGATGAGCCATCATGAAACGGAATCCCATAGTTACATGGGATTCATTCATCTCCAGTCATTATGTTTGTGTTTCTTAAACCAAATAAGAATTGATCCGGACTGCAACAGGTGTGGCGGGGCGGCCTTGAAGGTGTTTTCATGCCCCACCCCCACTTCATTGCTGGGAGGAATGTAACTGACCACTTATTTTTAAACACTTGCTTGTGCTTCCGGGGGAAATAGCTGTGAAACCACTAAATGATTCCTTATAGTCCTGGGTTCTTAACTGAGAATTCAGTTTGGCTCAGACTTACCCTCAGTGTCCCCCTTGTGACTGGCTAGTTTGTACTTTATTCTGTAGGAAATGGGGTGAGGGGACTCTCAGTGCTTTGAGCGGGTGGTGAGATCGTTAGAAATGCTCTAGGAAGGGTAATGCAGCAGCTGTGTGAGAAGACAGGCTAGGAGAGTCAGAAAGAACAGAGGGAGGTCTGTTGGATGGCCATGACAGTGCTCCAGTGGGGAGTTCAAGGGCCAGAACCGAGAGGAGGTGGTGAGGATGGAGACCCGGGACCAGAGGAGTGAAAGAGAGAATAGAGACCAGTGCGTAAGGAGTAGAGTGGGGATGGAGAGACCCGAGTAATGGAGGTAAAGACCGGGAGATCGGAGACGTGTAGGTGGGGGTGAAACCAGAGGCGTGGAGGTGAGGACATGCATTCAAGAGATACTGCAAAGACGGAACAAGAAGACTTCCAACACCAGGAAAGTGAGGGATCAGAAACAGAATCTGACGAGGACCAAGAGAACGTTTATGGCAGAAACTTACCTTTGGAACAAACTGAATTTGGGAGGCGGTCAAGATGCAGGCTATTGGAAATGTGGCCCAGAGTTCAAGAATGATGTCAGGATGCCTCCCAGGTATATCGAGTGTAGCATTGTCCCTTCTGAAAGCCTGGTTCCTTTTGTCCTTTGTCCCTCCACAAATGGCACATGCTTTAAGGTCATGGCCGACCTTTTTTTTTTTTTGGAGCTAGAACATCTTCCTAATAAGAGTCTTTGACTTCATCTTGGAATAGTCTGGGGCCTCATAGGGTATGACACACCTTTGATCTCCTATAACACATGCTCCCTACAGCTCTTCTGTACAAACCTTAGAACTGGTAGTCATCTGAGAGAGTCAGTGACAGGTTCCCATGATTGTCTAGGACCAAGGAAGTGTGGGGGTGTCGGCCAAGTTCACACAGTCAGCGACCAGTGCCCTGGTCCCAGCTCTGACCTCTCCTCGCCGGAAGGAGCAAGTGGCACCTTCCAGACCCTGCCCGTGTGAGAACAGGGACCCCGGCCCCGGTCCTTCTGTGCGTGCACCTCGTCACCGTGCCCTCAGAAGTGTTCTTTCTGGCCAGCTCGTATTTCTTCCGTCTCTTATAGTTGTTTACGGGCGATTCCTTTTAAAGTTCTAAACATTGAAAATTTGCGTTCCTTCCCTGCGTTCTTGAGAGTGTAAAACACAGTCAGCTGACACTCGCCTCTACCAAGAACATTCTGGGTGTTTGTTTCACTCCCGCGACACTGACTGGCCTCCTCTATTTGGCGCTACCTGTCCATCACCGCCTCTTCCATGAGAGACGCTGAGCCACTCTCGTGGGGATGCTGAGGAATCGCTATCAGTCGGGAGAACAGATAACACACCACCAGCAAGACCCTGGTGATGGCACTAAGACCACAGCGCCTCGTTCAGACCCGTAACGATAAGGCTCGTCCCACTGGTGATCCCCGGTCGAGTCCGGTTTAATGAAATGGTCGGCCAGTCGATTCGCCTTGTGATGGTGGAATTCATGCTTCTTACTTTGGCCTGTTCCTTCCCCCCGTGTAGATGCCCTGAACCTCCGGAACCGACAGGTCATCTGTGTGACGCTCAAGGTCCTGCAGCACCTGGTGGTGTCGGCGGACATGGTGGGCGAGGCCCTGGTGCCCTACTACCGTCAGATCCTCCCCATCATGAACATCTTTAAGAACATGAACCGTGAGTGACCCCGGGAGGCGGAGTGTCCTCAGTCTGAAAAGAGGGGAGTGGTTGGCGGTCGGGTTCAGGATGTAGCATTGACAGCAAAATCCTTTGCGGATCTAAATGGCGCCCCTGCCCCCTCCTCCCACTCCCCAGGGCAACCGGCAAATTAGCAGTTTCAGTTCTCATTCCTCGCACGCGCAGCTCGCTTCGTCAGTACAAAGGCACCGGAGCAGCTCTGTGATCTTCCAATAATTGAGTCGTAAAGTGTTTTTAATAGTTTTTGGAATACATTAGTAGGTTTTGAGCGTGTCCTTTCTCTGGATAGTACTCCTGCCTTTAGATACTGCCTGTTAAAACTGCAGTTTTTATTGATTTAAGATGAATTTTTAAAGCAATAGTATTAAATTCTGGTGCGGGTGGTTTGGTGAGTTTTAATAGATGTCTTCCATTTCTAAAATAAGTAGAACACTAGATTATTTGTAGCTGCGTCGTGATGGTGAGTGCTGTTTAAAAAATATATGTGCTGCTATATTTATTTTTTAAAATATTGTTGGGTAAGCTCTGGCAAGCACCGAGGTGTCAGGGGATCTGCTGGGACCGGCAAGGCATCAGCAGCCGGGTGGCCTCTGGGCAGGAGGGGGCTCACGCTGGCCCACGGAGCGTGGGAGCTCCCTTCTTGCCTCTGGAACCGTCTTTCACTCGCTCACTCTGAAGGCCCGCGCTTCCCAGCAGGGCGCACGTCAGAGCCACGGGCAAAGCCTGTGTCCAGGGAAAGAAGCTGGTGATGTGATGGAGGCTGCGGGCAAGTGTCCCCACGCCATCTCTTCTCACTGTACCAACAAAAACCACACACGGAACCACGAGGAGGCCCTCCCACGCACAGTCCGTTCTTTGGAGGCAGCGTGTGTTGTGTTATTCCTAGATTTCTCTTCAAAGTCTGCTTCGTCAGGCAGCCTATTCGGGAAACCATGGTGATGGCGTCCTCTCAGCTGCCTTTCAGTAGCAGCGCCTGTGACGTGTTTCCTGTTAAACGCGGCGGCAGAAGGGTCTCCACGGGGCTGCAGGACTTTCAGAATCCGAGGTGGGGTGCGTGACAGCCATTCCGGAACTCCCGGCGCGTGAGGGTAGGTGGGCGTTCAGATGACACGGCTCCTCTTCGAGGAAAATAAGAACTGGGCGTTAGTAGTTGTGTGTCTCAGGTCTAAACTGCAAGCTTCAGTAGCAGCATTTTGCCTGTAGGGAAAATACCCATCAACATTCTTGATTCAGAGCTATGTTATTCTGAAAGGTGTCATCAGATATCCAGGGAGTTAGGGAATGAGTCCACATGTGCATACTGTTTAATTATGGTTCATAAACGAAACCCTAAGGACATCCATTATAGATGCTAATTAACAAGAGAGAGAGAGAGAGAGAGAGAGAGAGAGAGAGAGAGAGAGAAATGATAGAGATAACAATGATAGAGATAGATAGAGATAGAGATAGAGATAGAGATAGAGATGCTAGAGGTAGAGATGCTAGAGATAGAGATGCTAGAGATAGAGATGACAGAGACAGAGATGACAGAGATAGAAATGATGAGAGAGAGCTAGATATGACAGAGTTCAGGTATTAAAGAATTGAAAAAATCAGGCACAGCCACCCCCAAAAGTCTCAGTTGCAGCGAACATTCTCAAGTGGTCTCCCCATAGCCCGCCTGGAACCCTACGATTCACGTACTGTTCCCATCCTTCCACAGCTTTCCTCCCATGTACACATTCGCTTCTGTACCCGCCGCATGGAAGGCGAACGCTCACCGCTTCCCGCCCTGGCCGGGGGGTCCCTCCGCCACCACAGCACTGGGCATCTGGGACTAAAACCTACGCATCATTTTGTATCTTCTTGCATAAAATGAGTGATATTCAAAGGACAATTAGCATCTCCCTCCTCCTCAAGGAAATATAAAAAAGAGGCAGTGCCACTACCACAAACGGACGGACGGACATGTCCCTGGAGCTCAGACGAGCCAACAAACACAGCCGTCCCTCCACCCTGTCATCACACCCCATATCAGGTCCTTGCCTCGCACATGCTCCCATGCTTAACAACGGGAGTGATTGCCTTAGGAGTACATCCCTGTCTAGGTTTTATCAGCGCGGGGAATTCACAGGTTACACCACAGCTTTCATTGGTCGCAAACATGCCTAATTATTGTGGGACATTTCTAGACGCAGGCACCAGGAATTCTCCATCCAACCATTTCCTGCTGACTATCTTTCTGACATTTGAGGGGGAAAACAGTACTAGCTTCCGCTTCATTTTCTCCTCCTCTTGGGAGCCTGTCAGTACAGTGCGGTGGGCTCTGTTCCCAGGGGCCATGTTATGAGATGGGAGCGTCGCAGCTGTAAAGCTGAAAGCTGTTCCTCACAGAGGCCGTGTGACCAGAGACCCGGTTCTGCTAGCAGGAGCGTAGCACAGGGTTTCTGACGACAATAGTATTTTCACTGCCACGATCATTTAGCTTTAACCGCGTTTAATAAATCCCCTTTTATGATGATGGATATTTTACTCGTAGTCACAGGACCATACATACCTGTTTTATTTAAGCAGATGTGTTCAGTAACAGATACCTCTATTTACAATTAAAATTATATTAGACATTTCCAGCATGTCGCATTGGGAAAAACTTTTATCTTCAATTTCAATGTATGTGAGGACAATGTCACACATGTCTGTTTCCTCGCCTCTCTACTCCTCTCTCGTGTAAATCAATATCTTGTTAAATTCAGATTCAAACACACTCCTTTCAAGTCCCACAACAAAACCCTTTCGAGAATGAGACCGGGTGTAAGTGACAGGAAGAGAGGAAAAGAATGTAGGAGAGAATGTTCCTTGGACGCCATGGCCTGTCCTTCTGTCTGTCCCTCGAAGCACAGCGTCAGCCCCATCCCACTGCCGCCCCTTCGTGCTTTCCTGTCCTTTGTGATGTCAGGGGCTGAGCAGCAGGGCCTGGCCAGGGTGCAGGCAGGCACCCCGGGGATGGGAGGTGGGCGGCAGGCAGGCGTGTCCCGGGACCTGCAGCCAGCTGTCCCCATCCGCACGCCTCCGGGTGCGCAGACACACAACCAGCCCCCTGTCTCCGCCCGGTTCCGGAGCAGGAGTGGCTGTGCGGCTGTTTATGACTGACATGTGCACAGGTTCCATGAGGCCACAGTTTAAAAAGAGCCACAGCAGACGAGTCTGAGGTGAGAGTTGTAACGCGGGATAGAGAGCAGCATCCGGAGCCAGAAGAGATGTGCTTAGGCCGGTCCTGTCGCTTCCCTGAACTTGCATGTTCTCAGCACAGAGTGGTGGTGACAAGGCCTTTCCTGTCGGGTCGGTGTGACAATTCGAGGTGATGGACCCAGAGCCCTTCACACAGGGCTGGCGGCGTCTGGGAAGTAAAAGAGGCAGCCATTACTGCCCACAGCTGTACTAGTATCTACATCTGCAGTGTCGCTGTGTCTGTTATTATGTGATATTACAGACAAAGGTGGCAGTCCTGTATGCATGACCATATAGCGGCACCGCAGGGGCTTGAGTGTGCTGTGTCCGCTGTTGGGGGACTCGGCCTGTGAGTGAGGTGGCCTCTGGTCCCCCCGCGGCGACCCCCTCTGTCCCACAGGACCCGTCACTCGCTGGTTGCCAAAGGCCAGGGAGGTGGCCACATGGGGTTCACTCACGGGCCACTGGGTTCCAAATCCATCCCTTCCTGCCAGAACCTCCGGGCTCGGACCCGTGCTGATGTTTGGGGGAGGGTCACGGTTACAAAGGGGAGCCTGCGTGTGAGCGGCAGGGCTCACCGGATGAGGGTGCGGGTGGAAGACCCACACGCGTGTCGCAGCTTGCGGCCTTATTCCCCTTCCTCCGAACTGCGAATCGGGCGTCTAACTCGGGGCGCCTCCCCGGGGACTGCTTTGGGGCGAAAGAGAGCAAAGAGCTTCCAGAACAGCAATTTCTCCTTCCCGTGTCCGTCCACAAGTGTTGTTAACAGTCGCATAAAATTAAGGCAACAGGAACGTTCAGTTTACAGCCTTCAGAGACGAAGCGCGAAGTTGAGGTGCAGGCATTGCATGTGAGAAGCGGGGGCCGGGGAACGGCCCGAGCGTGTCCAGCTGCCATGAGGCTCCGGGCAGGGGCTGCCGGTGGCCCTGTCGTGGCCCGTTTCTCCGGGCGGGCCTCGAGGTGGGTCCTGCGCTGGTAACTGCCCGACAGCCCTGAAGCAGGGGCACCTGGGACAGTGCGGAGACCCCACTCCCCCCAGTATCAGCGGCTCCGACAGTAGCATGTTTACATCATGGAATATGCATGGGTAATCATGACACGGCATGTTCCCGTGTATGGGAATCAAATAGTCTTAGACTTACCTAGCGTAGCGCTGGGACATAGGCCTCTAGAGCAGCGGTTCTCAACCTGTGGGTCGCGACCCCTTTGGGGGTCGAACGACCCTTTCACAGGGGTCGCCTAAATACATCCTGCATATCAGATATTTACATGACGATTCATAACAGTAGCAACATTACAGTTATGAAGTAGCAACGAAAATGATTTTATGGTTGGGGGTCACCACAACATGAGGAACTGTAATAAAGGGTCGCAGCATTAGGAAGGTTGAGAACCACTGCTCTAGAGGTTAGTAAAAGCCCATAGAAAAGATGGTAAACTTTTAAACTTCAATTCAGACACATTAAAACATAGAGAATCTCAGTCTTGTGGGTTTTAAAACTCTACAGGTGTTTATTTTAATCTGCAAATAAATGTTGTATTAATGGAAAAGAATGTCCTAGGAGCGTCGTCGCTGCTGCATTCACAGTCCTTTATCCCTTGTTGTTGCTGGGCGGTGTTCCACTGTAGACATGTTCTGCAGTTTGTGTGTCCGTCTTACTGTGGGTGAACAGTGGGCTGCTTCGTTTGAGGTTATTAAGGATAAAGGTTCTATAAACAACAAAGAAACTAAGAGGTAATGAGAATGTGCCAAATTTACAAAATTTTAGAATATTCGTATCAGTTCTTTGACCCTGAAATTCAATAAAAAATAGAAA